GTTTTTAGAAATATATAAAAAACCGTTCTCTTTTCAATGCCGTTCTCCGATAAATCAAAAAATTTCAAAAATAATTTTCCGTTCTCCATTCTATGATAATTCCGTTCTCTTTTCATATTTTATCCAACAAAACACACGTATCATGAGATAAAATTTCTTTAGAAAAGAGTTGATCAATCGGATGATAATGACTTAATGAAAAAGTTTCCTATTTTAGTATGAATCAGTGAATAAACGAAGCAGCAGCTCGCATCCAAATATATATAACAATACATACGTTGTAAATGTGATCTGTGCTCGTCATTAAAGAGAAAAGAAAGAAAAAAATAGTTTTCATTAACGCTCTATCAAGCATACATATGTGTCGTACTTATGGTTAGAAATAATATCAACGAAGCAATCAATCGATTCATATGCTGATCATACAAGAGTGATTATGTTTGCTCTATTTAGTTTGCTGATTTTTCTTTATGTAATTTATCGTTTATATCAACATTTTTTTCCATCATTAAATATTAATTACTGGCAAATATATTGTTATCAGTGGTTGTGATTCTGGATTTGGTAATCTATTAGCTATTGAACTCGATAAACGAGGTTTTCATGTATTCGCCGGAGTCTACATGTCTGAAAATGTTGAATTATTACAAAATAAACTTTCATCGAAAAGTACGGTTGTTCGTCTTAATATTACTAAACAAAATGATATTGATCATATCTTTGAATTAATATAAGCGAAAACCAATACTCTTCATGCATTAGTAATGCTGGTATTGCTATGCCAGATTTCATTGATGCTACTTCGATGGAAGTACTGCGTCAAACTCTGGAAGTGAATTTTTTCGGACATGTCGCTATGACAAAGAAATTTTTACCTTTATTGATTACTCAACGCCATTCTCGAGTTGCTTTTATGTCTTCCGTTGCTGGTATTATATCGATGCCAACTTCATAAGCATACAATGCATCGAAATATGCCATTGAATCATTCGCTGATTGTCTTCGTCGAAAAATGTTTCCATGGAAATTACATGTCAGTTTGATTGAATCAGGTTATATGAAAACACCGCTTATCAAACCACCTTACAAATCATTTGAAGATTATTGGTCACGATTTTCTCAAGATGCACAAGAACGATGGGGTCGAGATTATCTTCAAGAAAAATTTAATCAAGCCAATGATAATATACTCTTTAAACATGCCGAAGATCCAATGAAAGTAGTTCGAGCACTTGAACATGCAGTGATAAATACCAAACCTCAAATCCGTTATAATCCTGGTTGGCAAGCAACTTTTATCTTTTATCCACTTTCATTGTTACCAGCATGGTTACTTAATTTGATCGTGATGAAACTCGATCCAACTACTACACTTCCTTCGAGTGTGCACAAACAACCAAAACCTAAACCCTTTATTATTCTTTTAAAGAGAAAAAGACATCTCACTATTCTTTAAATAACTTCTTCTACTTATAAAATATCAAGCTGGAATTTTCATTGTAGCTTTTTGTTTGACATTTTTCCTCTTAGGTATTCACTAGAAAATTATCAATGCTTATAGAATACTTGATTGAGAGAAAGAGATTGATGAGTTTAATGAATAATGTGGGAGTTCGATAGCAAAAACAGTCAACGTGCGGTTACATTTACATGTCATTTGACCAGAGATTATTGCGAAAATAAATCAGAAATAGTGTAAATCGAAAAGCTAATTTCTTCACAATATTTCAACATAACATGTTTTCTTGTGCTTGATTACTCGACGATTATTCTTTCAATAACTCGACAAGATCGTCGTCAGTCAGATAAAAGCTTCGCTTAGCAAATCCATCAAAATCAAAAAAGTTGATTTTCAAGTTTTCTTCATTGATCAATATTCAACCCGAGTAAAGTTGTCATTTATTCGATTCGACCATTATGTTGGCTAGGTCGTCGTAAACAACACTCTTGATGCATAGCGGTATCAATCAGTTTCGATTTAGATAATATCACTCGGCTATACAACTAGCAGCACCTGTCAAAACATCATTTTTACGCATGACAGGAAAGTATCACGTTCAATAAAATACTTCATGCAGCAACAATGTGAATCTTTCGTATCGGATCGAGCTGAAATTTTGGGAAATGAATTATGATTATTAGTTACACATTTTGTGAAATTTTCATCTTTACACATATAATGGTTCCATAGATATTCATTTTTATAGCTGGCGCTAAGTG